AATAAAGCTTGCAAACATTTAAATGTTCAAACAAAATAGTTAAAGCTACAAAGTTTAATATTTAATACATAAAATTGAAAAACTAATAAATAATTAATTAAGTTGATACAATATTACTACCGTGATACACAACTTTCAAAAACATAATTTCTTTCATTTTTTTATTCACTTCAATTTTTTAGAGGAGCTTTATTTCTTATTTAAATTCTTCTTTTTTTTTTCTCTCTCTCTCCCCTTTATCTCTATAGAGCAATTAGATGCCATATTTTTATTGAAAAAAAATATATGTGAATTATAATAATAAGTTATTAACACTAACATTTATGATATAATTTGGAACATATGTGTGGTTGTCATTGTATGTTATCATGGTTTTTTTTTAATTAATAAACTTGTTTTAAATTCTTTTTAGTTTTCTATTAAAAATAATAATTGATTGTAGTCTATCTACTATAAATAGGAATTCTATTCTTGTAAAAAGGAATCCGATTAATAGAAGGAAGGAGATCAGAAAAATAGGCGCGTTTCCGGGCCTTCTACACATTATCCGTCACATTATGGGAGTTGGTTATGCCCGAGTCGTTACCTTAACCGCATGGAGGGGGATGCTGCAGGAAAATTATAAAAATTATTTTCCTCTCTATATTTCTATCTCAATAATGTAGACAATTGTTAACCAGACCTATTATTCTAGCATAACAATAAATGAAGTATGATAATATTAAAAATAATATTTTAGAATGTACTTTGGCTGACATGCTAAGCAAGTTCCCATACTAAGATGAGGGTTGGTAGAGTTGATGAGCCGAACTTGTTGGACAAATATGGACTCCAAAATCTGTCAGACTACTATTTGACTTTATCTTGTATTGATCTTATTCGGCTTGTTGACAACCCAATCCACTTTGGTGACGATCTTGACCTCACTTCAACTAGTCTTTAATTTTGTTGAAGGTCTTTTGTTCTTGGACTAATACAGATAGTTACAAGACTTTTACAAACAAAAATCCTATCTTTTTATTCCAAAATGTAAGTTATAGATCAGATTTAAGCTTTAGATCAATTATAAAGTAGGAACATTGAATGCTGAAATAACTTATAATATTTATGGGTTCTTGAGAATCAAGACTGAGTGACCATATTAATATATCAATCGGATTCTTCAATTCAGATATAGAATCATCAAATATGAGATTTGATCTCACATATTATTTAAGTTATCAATCGAAAGGTGACTAAGATCCGAGAACTTGAGATTGATCTCACATATTAATTTAAGTTATCAATCCAAAGGTGACTGAGATTTGATCTCACATATTATTTAACTTATCAATCATCAAACCCGTTATACAAGGTTTGGATGTTAATACTCTTTATGTCAGATTCAATAAACTTTGTACACCGGATATGAACATTACAAGACAGGTATTAAGATTTTTCTTTTAAGTGTTGAATCAGATGTTAGTTGTATTATTTTATAAATCCGATGGTTGAGACCGACACTCTTCCTCTATTTGTCAATAATAGATAGCCATGATAAAAACACTTAGAAAAAAAAATGGTACTGAAACTCATAAATGAAATAACAAAATTTGAACTCATAAATTCAGTGATCTATTTAGAATTCCTTGTCTTTCCTTTTTTTTTTTCTAATTTTTTTTTCTTTTCCTTTTCTTTTTCCTTCCATTCTTTTCTTTCAGGTTATGAGACAGTATAAAGAAAGTACATTTAAGAAATAAAGTATAAATAAAGCTTTGAATTTTATCTAAATATAGATGAAATACTGGAAAATGTAAACTTTCATTTAAATTGAACATATATTGAATTATTACAATGAAATTAAGACATTTATTCCTCAAAGATCAAATCTTCAAACTTTACATATCTAATTCTTCCGTCAGATTAACCAATCCGGTTTTGTAAAATAGTGTTCATGCACATGTGCATTAGCATATTAGATTTATCAGCCTTGTATATAATTTTTGGTTCAAAAAGGTTTTATTAAATTCTAAATGCATTTGTGAATAAAAAATATTTCCAAATTAAAATATGAACTGGAATGAACTAACCCCTTTAACTATGTAGCTTGGACTATTGACATCAATACTTCAAAAGGAACAATCTTATGGATTCCATCATTCCAAGGGTGGAGGATTGTGTTATACCTAAGGTCGAAGTCAGTAGACAAAACAATTGAAATGTATGCAACTTATGCAGATATAAGGGGTTCGAGGTAAAGTAGGGAACACAAAAAACGAAAAACAACGATATAATCAAGCTGAAATATGTTTTGTGCAGTAGGGCAGGATATCCAAGAAACATAGAAGTTGACACGATGAATGGAAAACCGGATAAGAAGAAGCGAAATAGGAGCTTTAAAAAAACCGATTGTAATGCGTGCATAAAGTTTAAACTTGTTCCCGACACATACTCATACCGAGTCTACAGTTTTGAAGATAAGCACAACCAAAATTGATCCCTCCCCAACATATACATCTTACATGCAAGAGAAGACAATTGCAGTTTTTTGACAGAGAAGTAATCAAGATATGTGCAACATAACAAAAATTGGAGCATCAAAGGCTCATATCTTATTGTGCGGCATAAAAGGTGGTCATTAAGCCGCTAGTGGAACTAATACGGACTTTAAAAATCATCAAAGAGACTATAACAACTACATTGGATGGGGAGATTCAAATATGTGGATTAAGAAAATGAACAACCGGAAAGAACATGTACCGAATTTCGTATTCGTATACAAATGTGAAGAAAGTGAAATGGTGGCTGCTTTCTGGGCAGATGATTCAGTCCAATGTAATTTCGAAGCTTTTGGGGATATTGTCTCTTTTGATGGTACCTTTTGAACAAACAGGTACGTAGTATTCAGCTGTTGGAATATTGATATTCACATGTGCATACTTACTATTAATATCCATCATCCACCAAATGATATTTGTACCATTTACAGGTATTGATAACCATAAAAATGTGTTTCATTTGGAGCTAGATTGGTTGCGCATGAAAATGCATCCGCATTCGAATGGGTGCTGAGACCTTCCTTGAAAGCACGCAAAAAGGAACCATCTTTATTAGTTAGTGACAAATGCCCAACTATGAAGATCGCAATAGACGTCGTTTTCCAGACATCAAGACAAAGGTTTTGCTTCTGGCAAATATGCCAAAAAGTTGCATCAAGGGTATGAATATACTATTTTACGAACTCCATATTATATACTTTATTTAATTGAAAAGTGAACATTTGTAGGTTAATTACAACATTTGCCACGACATCGACTTCAAATTAAGATTCAACCGAACTATTTAAAATAATAGGTTGACAACAGACGAGTTTGAGTTTAAATAGTTGTCATTAATAGAGGAATTTGAGCTACAAGGCAATATATGGTTGTCTTTGATGTTTGACATCAAGGAAACATGGATACCAATGTATTCTAGAGAATTACCGCTTTCAGGGTTGACGAGGACAATGTCATGATCTGAAAGTGAGTTATTTATTTTCACAATTCACGCATTTTGGTGCAACACTAGTTGTCTTTGGTAACTTGTATGATGCTGTAATGGATAACAAAAACACAATCAGTCCATTCTTGACAATAAGACAACACCACCTACCTTGAAGACCCTGTTAGCCATTGAGCGGAATGCAAGCATAATGTACACGTGACATGTTCATGTTGGTTCAAAAACAAATACAAGAGTCAATCTAGTCATGTCCAATCACCAATTTACAATCAGGAAACGGAACAGAAGTCCCTATTGTAACAGAAACCACAAAGATTGAAATGAACGAGCATGAAAATGAGACAAATGACTCCAATGTTCCAAGGGAGTTGACGTATAAGGTATGTGTTATTAGTCGGAATTAAACTTGTTTATAAATTTTTTAAAACATGCACATGTTAATGACCCACATGCACATGTGAATGTCGAAAAAGATTGGGGCCATGCACATTTGAATTGACATAAAATACTTTTCATCCATGAAGGTCTGACCCGCATGCACATGTGAATGTCGAAAAAGATTGGGGCTATGCACATTTGAATTGACATAAAATATATTTTTCATCCATGAAGGTCGTATGCAAAGACTGTAGAATGTACGTGTTTACACTTCGGTCAACACCTTGTCACATATTTTGTGTGTTGAGGCGTCACAAGTTCCAAAAAATATCAGATAAATACATATTATGACCTCGGAAAAGAGATATAATACCCACAACTTCTGACGAAGAGGACATGGCCTAGTGAAACGAATGAAAAACGAACAAAGCTTGTGCATGAAGGGAGATTTGCATTCAAGCATTGTATAAAGGGTTGTTTACCAAACGCTTGTCCAAGTAAGCGCTTACCAAGTCATGTTATCTCACCGGATGAATATGATAATTACCAAGAATCTTACCTGGTAAGAACCGAGACAAGGACCAAGAGTCTTACCCGATCAATGAGGGTGACGACTCTTACCACGGTAAACGCTTACCGGGTGAATTATTGCACACGATGTCGTTTTGATGAACTAAAATCTTACCCGATAAGTAAATAATAGTGTTAAAATTTTACCGGTAAGCATTTGTCGGATAAGTGTTTGGTAAACGGCCCCTAAGTGTATTAAGCTATGATGATGAGAAGTTGGAAGAATATGTGAAGAATTTGGTTGAGCTAAAAAGAGAAATTGATGCTAGTATTCCTTCTCAAGCAACTCAGAAAACAGACGACTTGATAGAATCAATCGTTGGAGTCTCGAAGCCTGATGTGATTGAGATACACAATCCAACATGAATACAACAAAGGATGCAATGAAAAAGGCTACATATTACCTGTATGCACATATGCAAGCAATCAGATGAACGATGATTATAGTATTTTGTTTCTCCTCCAAGCATAACCCAAATCATATAACACAAACAATACATAGCATGAACAGTTGTGAGGGCCTTCCGATTATAACACAAACATGATGCAATTAATTTAAGACGAGCAATACATAAGATGAATGTTTATTACATAATCCGTTTTCACCCTAAACTAACACAACTAATATAACGCCAACAATACGTAATAGCTTACGTATATAATGAAGTGACTGGACTTGATAAAAACATTTATATGCACATTAAGGTTCCTAAATGTAGAACATATGAATCCAAAAACAATACTTATGAATTAAGGGGGATTGTGCATCCACTCAGAACAATATGAATAATACTTCAATTCTAAAGGAAAACAACAAAACCAACATATGAAAACCTTTCCCCAATGTCTATATATGTATCAACAACCCAAAACAACCTTTCCTTATTCCGACACTATCCTAAAAAAAGCTTCGTCCTCTCTTTCCATGTAGCCAAAGATCTTGTCGTTATGGTCTTCTGGGCTTCACGGTCAATGCCATCAAATGTATCAGCTAATGCAATGACCTTACCTTGATAGATATTCATATCAGATAACAAAATCTTTGCTACATATTTATACCTCAAACGCGTCAACTGCACATGTTGTGTCGCCGACTCTTTACCTAGTAAATAGTCCAACCGACCAACAGATTGGCCCATGTAAGTTTCCATGTGGCGCATTACGAATATTCCACAACCTATAGAATTCTCATTAGTGCGCCACTTCATTTTCAGCCTAACCAAATTAGTCCTATCGATAACGTCAGCCTTCTTGTGGCTTACGTAGCTTATATATTCCACAAACAACCAAAGTTTTCTACGATAAAAAAATGTATGAAGTGACGTAGCTTAAATATTTAGTATAAAGAGACATTGAATGATAACACTGGAAAAATACAGTGACGTATGCATCAGTGCATATGAACAGTTGGTTAAACAATTATAGCATCATTGATGCATATGAAAGGGGTAATTGTGCATATGCACAAATGCATGTACTAGTAAGATAACATTCTTGGGTATGCACATGTGTAAAATTACGATGTGATACACATTGGATCATATGTATGAACATAACATGAACAATAGATTATCAATTTAAAGATAAAAAGAAGTTACCATGGGCTATCTAATACGAGAAATTCATGTTCTTATAAACAGATTGGTACTCACCAATATTGAAGGAGTAACACCATACTTGGTTTCAGATGAAATGTCGACTGACATGTTGTCTATTACAACAAATGCAGCTCTAAAAGTGTTCAGCTTCCACAATGGGAAAGAAAACCTATTAACAATGAAAATCAATACATCACTAAAAATAAAAGCAACAAAATATGTAGGAGAATAATTAGCCCAAACCGACTCACTAGATCAATGTTCTTGAAAGATATCGATTCAGGATGCCTACTTATAGCTGCTGTTACATTCACACAATACTTGCCATATCTCTCTTCATTGCTCATTTTACCACTTCTCATATCACTGGTCTGAATACGAGTTAAAACATGATGTTAAAGCTAATAATCATTTGTAACACATAAACTGTGGTGAAAAAACCAAAAGATACTAATAAAAACTAGAATAGAGGAATGGAAAAAGAAGTGTGACAGAGACTCAGGAGTCCTGTGTCTTCATGGTTGAGCAAAATGGTCCATGTGTCAATGACGTTAGCAAACACACAGGCCCTTGGTTTAAACTCTGTTGTAACGCGAATAGTGCTGACACCACATTCAGTGTCAAACACAGGCTCACTGACATATGAGATATTATAATGATTAAGACATCATGCTTCAAAAAATAGAGAACCTAATCGATAAGAATCAATACGATCAATACTAAATAAATAATATAGCTACTTATCTAATGTCACCCATCATTGCAAACAAAGATCTGGCAATCTTGAACTCTACAGCGGTCACATGTGTAACACACTAACCTGTCTCCTTACATATGGTGAACATAGAACGATTGCCGCTCTTGCAACACGTCTCCCCTCCTTACCCCCTGCGATTATCGTGCCTCCCCACCAACTCACTAGTCTTTTCTGTGGCACCTAAATTATCTACAGATTCGTGAGTCATAGTCGAATTACGAGCAATATCATCCACTCTTTTGACGGGTCCATGTTGAAATTAGGGGGAGAAGACAATGATTCAATAGCTTTTTTCTTCAATTTTCGTCAATAGATTTGTCATCTGAGATAAGATAACCAAGCACACCCGGTTATTGAAAAATGTGTTGGAGTCTATAAATCCTCATTCCACAGTGGTTGCGGTCTCACCGTTGGAGTCATCTCATTATTAGTTATGGGACACACAGGTACACTACCACCTACCGGCACTTTATGCGCACGCCTTACATACGTTCTACTTATGTCTTTAGCAGAAACACATTTAACAAGGTCAGTATTTCGATCTTCACAACCAGATGCAAAAATTAGTTTTGATCTCCAATTATTGAGATGCTCATGCTGTGGATCTAAATATAGTCCTTGGTTCACATATGATAATTTTTTTTGTTTAAGACGTTCCATCTCCTGAACCTTGGAATCAATTAATCGTATGAACCCCTGTAGTTTAACATGTATAGATACAATTTTCAATTTCCTTTGACGCATATATAAATACAATATCTTTCGATGTCATAATCAAATGTTTCAATGCACCTGTGCAATCGAAGAACAGTTTTATTATATACTACATGCATTTGTGAATAGAGAAACTAATCAAGTATATAACGAAATTAAAAACATGCATATGTACACATCATGCTACATTTGTTATTAAATTGTTTTAATACATAAAGTTTTATCATGGCATATGCATCTTTGCATAATTAATGAGTATGACTTAGATTGTCAAATGCATAAACTATTATTTTTGGCAGATATGCATTTGTGAATGAATGTCAATTGCAATGAGATACTCACCTAACTATACATCTCGGGCAAGTTAAATCAAAACTACAAACTGAGCAACATTATAAAAAACATACGAAATGAAATAAATGTGAATATGTGATACAAATGTTACCTCAACATCGGTTGGCTGGGTGTCGGGAAGAACTGCAACAAGATCAATCAGCGGGCGGCCATTTGCAAACAGATTCATCGGACCATGAAAAGATTGGTTGATCTCAAAATTACCGAATCCCCTTTCTCGATATCCTCATATTCGTCTCAACAAATCGCTGGCCATCCTAGTAATGCGGGTCTCTGTCTCATTGTAGGACTGTCTAATGAATGTGTTGCATCAATGCACAAAAACTAAAAAAAAGACATTGGTGGCAATCCACTAATAATAAAAACATTTGGCATAACTACATTAAACTAAAAAAATAAATTATTTAGCAAACTCTTAAGTACTAACCGCCAATACAGTCAATGGACCCGTGAAAAAACAACAGGGATCTTCTGGTAAGCACCCGTGTTTGCATTCAACCACACAGTGTACTATAAGGGCACACCAATCCATCTGATCGAAACGAAGTTATTCAAGTTCTTTTTCTCAAAGAAGTCAAAGAAGTCCCCCTCCGACAGCCTGACGAGCTATTCATCTTGCTTGGAACCGTCGTTGTGTATGGGAAAGAGGGCTTCTACCTATGCTTGGTTGGGAAAAGGGTGAATGGTCCGAGTAGATCATGTTGGGATCTTCACCATGAATGATCCTCCGGGCGAAGCATCTCATGGCACACCATTGATCAATAAGACAGGAGAAATAGAATATACGGAATGGCCGATCATGAATTCTATGAAGTTCATAAACCTTTTTTTTTTAATAGCGATACGCTCGGGGCATTTCTCTGTAAGAAGAAGGCCTATCGTCTCTACCAATGAATCGATTAAGTAACCCTAAGAAACATCTACCCATTTTCATGGTTTAGCACATAATATTCACAAAGAGAAGGATGAAATTGATCTTAAACATTGGACCCGCATCAACATTCTATTTAATCTGTCTAACCAGCTCAGCAGGGGTAATATTATTATTACCAAATTCACTACGAAACTCTTTGACCATTGAATCATCGTTTTCAAGAAGTCCTATGGAAAGTATATCTTTGCCTCCAACCGGAAGACCAGTCATGGCATGAACAAGTTCCTTGATGACATGAATCAAACCCCTTTTAGTCTTGATCTTCAAATTCTTCAGATCAAGGTTTTCCATGATAAAATGACCCAACTTTACAGGGATAGAATCAATTTGGAGGGAAAATAAACACCCAAAACCCATAGGACACACTTGTCTTTGTTCACTTGTCAGGGATCGTACAACATTAAACAGTTTCTTCAGGGACATACGGTTTCTAATTCTGCGATATTCTATCTCACTACGGATTGTTGCCTCTACAACTGCTTTTAAGACTTTAGTGGGCTTTGGTCACTTACCCATCTATTTTTTTCTAACCTTGCACCTAGGTTCTTCACTTGGATCATTGTTGTCACTAGATTGAGGAACAAATGAACTTCTATTACATGATATAAAATTGTCATATGAGTATTGAATAACCAAATAGGATGCAAGTAATTAGTTTAGTAACAAGAATAATTTTTAAACACAAAAGCAATGGTTGGTTCTATAAACATAAATCCTCATTTTCCAGAATGCAATAGGGGTGTATATATTCTTTTTCGAGTATTGATTGATACCCAAAAATCCCCTAAACTACAACACACAAACCAACTACTTGGGTGAAAAGAAGATTCCAGACCCTAAAATAGGCTTATCACACACAGAAAAAGTTGAAATATCAAAAAAATTCAACTTCAGTATGAATGTATGTATTGGCAGTAGTAGAAACCCATTATGAGTGTACTTATTCACAGATGCATATAGAAATTAAGACTAAAAATAAGAAACTTTTGACAAACATAAGAAACATGCAAACACTAATAACAACACTGCATCACATACAAACTTAGAAAATCAACAATGTTTATCATCTCTTTGAATGATTTCATAAAGAACAGCTCTAATATAAAGAGGGGTATTCTTTTTCGGGTTATTGACTTAATACATAAAAAATCCCTAAAATACATCACATAAACCAAAAAAGCTTTGGTGAAAAAACCGATTATAAACCCTAAAATCGGACTATAAACACAAAATATCAAATAAATCAACTTCAATGCAGTGTGAAACTAACCTTTTTTTCTTGGATATAAGCACTTCGTTACTCATCTTCACTAACCTAGGGCTTCTTCTTGGTAAATCTGCATCAAAAGTAGACATCAAGTGGATAAAACTATAAGAACACATAAGACAATTACTTACATCATCACAACGTTTCTAAAAGAGAAATAAAGAAGCGTGAAATCGTACCTTCATCGACCATTGAACGCAAAACGACTTGAAATCGTTAGGCGACAGTATGAAATCGGATACTATGAAGATAATCTTGACCCTTTTGCAAATCGGCTCTATGAAACAGGTTGCCTACTGAGGATATTATGCCTACACAATCGGGAATAGGAAAAGATTTATCCTGATATCGACACTACCCCCTAATGCTGTAATGCAGCATGTAGTAATATATAAACTTCCCTCGACATTCAATTATTTACAAAACTCTCATTCTCATCATGACCATGAGATTCCTTCATCCAACGTCTATGAAGTTCTTCCTTGGTTTTTCATGTTCTTGAACCTTCCTTTATTAAGATACATCTACTTTGACTCCTAAAAATGTTACAAATTTTCACTCTGAATCCATTAAGAAAAATTTTAAATCCAGTCATTCTTTATAAATACTTTAAGGATACTCGGACGAAGTTGTGAGATATATTGAAATAATGTTTCGTTTTATTTTATATAGCTGTCGAATAATATAGTTTTATGTAATTTTGAGAAAGCGATATGTTTATATTCATATTTTTTTTAAAAAGTATATCAATATTAGTATAAAATTAACTATTTAAAAGTTCTCGTTCTTTTTTAATTCAAAATTTTTTATTATAATTCAATTTAGGTTTAATAACGAAGTCATTTATTTTTTGTTTTGTAACATATTTTTTATAAAGATAAGAATTAAGTATTTTGTTATAAGTGTAACTCAATGATTATCCTAATTATATTTTAGATTGTTTATATTTTATAATGAGATGTTTATCTTGTAGTGGATTATGTTTATTTGCAGTTAGTTACACAAATTCAAATATGAAGCTTTAATAAGTTATAATTACGCACAATTTACTTGTAATCTCAAATTTTAAGGCTCTGTTTGTTTATACAAAAAAAAGCACTTAATACCCTCTTATGTCTGAATCGGTCAGACCTTAGGGTATTAAGTATGTTTGTTTTCTTTTTCCAATTAAGAGCTTAAAAGCTCTGATTAGATCTGAATTATTTAGAGATAACCTAAACACTGAAAACCTCTTCTTTGTATATCGTTGCCTACCTCTGGTCTTTCTCAAGCTCTGGATCTATCTCTTCGCATCTCTGGATTAACTATTGTCTTCAAGTTCTCTCTCTCTCTCTCTCTCTCTCTCTCACACACACACACACACAAGCTCTCAATCTCTCTCGATTTAAGGTATCCATCTCGATTTCACTTCTTATCTGATTTATGTTTTGGTTCTTTGTTTTGGTTCTCGATCTACTTCAAAATGTGGTGGTTCTTGTTTGATCACTGTCAAAGGGTATAACAAACAACCTGTCAAAAGGGTTCTTGTTTGATCACTGTTAAAGGGTTCTTGTTTGATCACTATCAAACAGCCTTAATAGTCCATGTTTGCTATTGGGTATATGTTGGTCCCTTGAGGGTCTACAAGAATAGTAAAACAGTTTGTAGAAGGGGGGGGGGGGGATGAATACAAACACAATATTTTCAAATTTTAAATATATATTGATAAAGAAGATCAATACAGATTTTACAAGATTGTTTGCGGATAGATAAAGTGATAAGAACTTATCTAAACAATCTTTAGTTACACACTAAGTCTTAGCAAATACAAGAAAAAAAATGTTATAGAGAAGATTCTTTACTTAAGCTAGAAAATGCTTGAAGTAAGAATTAGGGTTAGAGAGTGAGTTGCGCGCACTCTGCATGGAGAAGAAACACTTCTATTTATACCCTGTGCATTAAATGAACATTTAATGCAATATGGTAGGGTTAGAGTGCGTGTCAAGCCTTAAKAGGAAGTCTTGTCCTTTGTTATAGTAAATAGTACAAAAAACACTATTCATGAGCAGACATCCTTACCTAAAGTTGGTGGACAATAGAGTTGACTAGTCGGTACCATACCAACTTTCATAAGGGTATGAGGTTTATCCTTTGTGTGTATAAGAACAAGACAACAACAATCGTGCTAAGCAAGCTTCCTTTGATCGCTGAATGCTGGAATGACCTAAAGGTCTCTTCATCATTCGTTGAAGCTTGAGCAGTCTTCACATATATGTAGACAGACTTGTAATCACTAAATACCGCTTCAGATCACATATTCGCCAGTCTCTAATCTTCAATTTCAGCCTTTGACGTTTGCTGAAGGTTCTTTGGTGTGAGTGTTGTCTTCTTGAAGTATTGTTGTCTCTGATTAGATTTACAATGCAAGTTCTTCAACGATCACTGAACATACTCAGTGAAGGTCGCTGGAACTGAAAAGACAGAAACATAAATACAACGTATAAGTGAAAATGGATTATCATCAAATCACTGAGAGAGATGATCAACAATCTCCCCCTATTTGATGATAACAAGATAACATAAATAAGGTTATCTTATCAAATAATAGTAAGAAAAATTACATATGAAGTACATGTTCCTTTTTACTATTTTGGGATCTTTTTCAGTTAGCCAGTCTCAGCTTGAAAATTTTCCTTAAGTTATATCTAAGAAAATTACAAGTACGGAAACTGAAACTGAAAGCTTATTCACAGACTTATAGATTGTCAGTGAATGCGAAAAGTAACAGTGGAACTCATAGACTTATGTCCATATTACTTTTTGCAGGGATATTTTTCAGTGAAGTACATGGAATACTCATTTTATTAATCATAGGAAATATTACAAGTATTACATTACATGTCCAGTGCTTACAGATTATAAGTACAATCACTGAAAGTAGACATAGTACAAGAAGTTACAAGGAAAAGTGGATTGTTGTTACAAAGAGAAACTATTCTAGAACTCTTAGATCTATGTAACCAGGTACATTTTCACCAAGTTTTHWTYRACRTAGGAATTCCCTTCGTATCTTCAGATCTACGACTTTTCCAGGCATGCTATCATCTATCCAGAGCAAGAGGTAAACCAGATGATACATTAGACATAGATATAGCTCTGACATTCTCTGAAATCTGACTTCACCTTCATAGTCAAGGAATATAACTTCTAACTCAGGTTTAAAATGCACAAAGTTGGGTGTATAGGGACCCTTATCTGGCAAGTCAAGATTCAACATAGAAATGTCTGTACTCTGATGACCCTTCAGGACTTCATCTAAGGAGAACCTTGTTTCATGTTCGATCGTTAGGAATGGTCCATCATTAGGATCAGAGAGCTTGAGTTTCTTCTTCCCACCTTTCTTCAGAGATGGCCTGTCAGGGACCTTGACATACCTGGACATCCTTTTGATGAGCTCGCTAATGGTGTTCTCGATAAGTGTCTTGTGTCTCGACTTGGATTGCTGAATGGCTTGTCTGATCTCCATCCATTCGCTGTATCCATAATGGCCAAGGTAGGAAGGGTACTCGGTAACAGCATCAAGATTGTCCCTGGTGATGAGCATTGAGACCAGCGTTCCACCGTCTTTAGAACGTCCGCTGATGCTGACGCGGATAATCGGGCGAGGACTGACTCTCTTTTTCAGCTTTGCTTTGCTCCATCACTTGTCCTTTTCCACCAGCTTCAGGTTCTTCTCATGCTCAGCTTCTGCAATAGAAAGAAGTTTAGCCAAGGCTTGGACATCGTTCACCGTTTTCTTGGACTTCTTTTTGGGAAGGAATTTTTCAGCTAGTGACTTGGCCAGCTTCAAGCTGTCTTTAGTCTGCTTCTTTTGAAGCTCTAGCTCTTCTTCAACCCTTAATGCCTCGACTATTTCAGCTTTAGAAAGGAAGTCAAACTCACCACCACTAGAGGTACGAAGAAGGATTTTTACTATAGTCTGGTCGAATGACTCCTTCAGCTGAGACATCTGCTGGTCGGTAGGAGCACAAGAGACAGGTTGATCAGGTACCCGCTCCAGTCGACAGCAGGTTGTTGATGGAATATGAAGTTGATATTTTGAAGTAATCACTACCTGAGAGGTAGAGTCTTCAAACAAAGGTTGTTGGGGGATATTGAACAATACCTTCAAGTTTTCTTCTTCAGCAACCGCCTTGCCTTTCGACTTGGGGTCCTGGTTCCCTGATGGAGTAGATTCATCTTGCCTTTGCTCCCCCTCGGATGCAGAATCCCTGAGAGAAACTTCCTTGGTGACGGTTGATGGCTTCTGCTACTTGATGGTAAAGTCATCTTCATCATCATCGTCGTCATCGCCATCTAGATCACTTCCGGGGTCTGGAATGGTAGGTTCATCATCATCTTCATCATCATCATCTTCATCTTCATCATCATCATCATCATCATCATCATCATCATCACTAGCAGCAGTGATGGTAGGGGCATCATCCCTAGGGATGGCATCGACATCCTCAGCTTGAGCAGCTTTGGTGTTTGCGAGCCTCAGCTTCAACGGCAACTGAAGCTGATACTGGACCAACAGCCTGAGAAGGGGTAGGCACAACATCGGATGATTCACCAGTGTTGGACCTCATCTCCCCCTTTCTGGCTAAGACTTGAGAGAATTGGCCAGAGAGTTCGTTCAAGAGCTGACGCTGGTGAACCATTATTTCCTCTAGCCTTTGCAAAGCACTAGCTAGAGTTGTCGTTGCCTCACGCGTCTCATGGAGCTGGGCGCAATCACTGGCAGAGAAAGAAGGTGGGATCATTGGAGCTGGTTGACGGACAACATCCAGGATCTGTTGAAGAAGGCCAGCCTGCTGATCAGCGATAGCCTGAGCATTGTTAGCCCTGGTGTGAAGAACAACAATGGCATCGGTGTTGGCTTGAACAACTTCTTGGAGAGTCTGGAGATGACTCTGAACTTCTTGAACGTTCGCCTGGATGGCAAGGAAGTTCGCATCAAGATCACCTTGGCGGGGCATCTCTTGGTGGACTTCGTTGATCCTGCAGAGGACAGTATCAACGGCTGGAAGGAGAAGTTTGATGTCTGATGCCATATCATAGACATCATCGATCTCTTCATCTCCTCCATCATCTTTCTCTCTTTCTTCCTCTTCCACTTCCTGAGCATCAGACTAATGCATCGAAGAAGGACCTGCGAAAGAAGAAGTGTGAGCTGAAGGCTCAAGGTTAGAAGAAAAGAAAGGGTAGGAAGATGGAATACCTGAGGGGCCATCAGTGACATCTAAAGGATTGTCACTGGCGTGAGCAAAGATGTCCTCGAGAGGATGGACATCTGTGTGCAGAGGAACATCGAGAGGAGCAACCTTAGGTCCAATGGTGCGC